CCCCCCCCCCCCCCCCCTTGTCAGTATTTCCTACCTTAAAGAGTCTTATTTATTGATCAGTATTTAAGTTACTAGTCTTGGTGTATGCAGTAAGGGGAGCGGGCCCCAGTCCTCCCTTCCTCCCTTCTCCCTTCCTCCCTTCCCCAGTCCTCCCTTCCTCCCTTCCCCAGTCCTCCCTTCCCCAGTCCTCCCTTCCTCCCTTCCCCAGTCCTCTCTTCCTCCCTTCCCCAGTCCTCTCTTCCTCCCTTCCCCAGTCCTCCCTTCCTCCCTTCCCCAGTCCTCTCTTCCTCCCTTCCCCAGTCCTCCCTTCCTCAGTCCTCCCTTCCTCCCTTCTCCAGTCCTCCCTTCCCCAGTCCTCCCTTCCTCCCTTCTCCAGTCCTCCCTTCCTCCCTTCCTCCCTTCTCCAGTCCTCCCTTCCTCCCTTCCTCCCTTCTCCAGTCCTCCCTTCCTCAGTCCTCCCTTCCTCCCTTCCCCAGTCATCCCTTCCCCAGTCATCCCTTCCCCAGTCATCCCTTCCTCCCTTCCCCAGTCATCCCCAGTCATCCCTTCCCCAGTCATCCCTTCCTCCTTTCCCCAGTCATCCCTTTCCCAGTCATCCCTTCCTCCTCCCTTCCTCCCTTCCTCCCTTTCCCAGTCATCCCTTCCTCCCTTCCCCAGTCATCCCTTCCTCCCTTCCCCAGTCATCCCTTCTCCCTTCCCCAGTCATCCCTTCCTAGCCAGCCCCAGTCCTCCCTTCCCCAGTCCTCCCTTCGCCAGTCCTCCCTTCCCCAGTCCTCCCTTCCCCAGTCCTCCCTTCCCCAGTCCTCCCTTCCTAGCCAGCCCCAGTCCTCCCTTCCCCAGTCCTCCCTTCCTCCTTTCCCCAGTCCTCCCTTCCCCAGTCCTCCCTTCCCCAGTCCTCCCTTCCTAGCCATCCCCAGCCCTCTCACTTGCTGAATCCAGCTCTGGTGCGGTGTGCTGCCAAACTGAGTTACTTCTCAGATTTCATCTTGATGGATATAAATAGATACTCAAACTTCTAGGCCGAGTTTGTACAATCTGTAAGTTTGCAAGTATGATGTGATTTTTTTAAAAACATGGGAAACTTGAAGGAAATGGCATCAGATGGTGAAAATCTACAGATCTGACACCAGTGTCGATTTTTGGCCAATATCTTCATGAAAAGCGAATGTCATTGTAAGCCTTGACCATAACATGAAACTGCAGTTTGGTGGTGTACCGTGTTGAAAGGTGCATCTTTGACAAAGTTTCGGAAGGGTGCAAAAATCGAGAATTCTCAAAATGTGTACTTCGGTGGATTGCTTGTGACAGTGACGTTATGTCATGATTTACAGGGTGGTGCACTCTGAAGTAGTTCTGGTTCACCACGGAGCCAGGATCAGTTATTTGAGATTAGCCTTGATTTCTCCTTTTGTCTCTCCCTCCATCCCATCCACTACCCTTTCCATTCCACCTTCTGTCCTCTTCTCCACTCCCACTTCCCCCCTCCCCCGCCTTCCCCATATCCACCCCACCCTCATTGCTCTTTCCCTGTCCCTGTGAAATTGACTTGTTGTATTGTTGTAAGAAAACATTCTTTAATTGCCATTTTCTCTCTCTTCCTCTCCCCCTTTCTCTCCATGTCTCCGTCCCCGTCTCTTCCCCCTCCCCTCCCCTTTACTCATCCCCCTCTCTTTCCCCTCCCCCTTCTTCCTCTTCCACCCCGTCTCTTCCCCCTCCCCTCCCCTTTACTCATCCCCCTCTCTTTCCCCTCCCCCTTCCCTTCTCCCTCTACTTCCTCTCCTCCCTCCCTCTCCCCTCTTTCACATATTTTCAGTGGTACCAAATGATGACATTAACAATGATGATGATGATGACGATGGTGAGCAGACGAACCGGTTGCCACTGGCAGAGGGAGACCGGCTGGCGTCCAACAAGTGGGTCTACTCTCGCTACCCCGTGGAGCTGGGGATATCCACCTCGTACATGCATTGGTTCATGCTTCGGTTCGGCTACTCGCTCAACTTCACATTTGAGGTCATTGACCTACCAGGTAAGCTTGGGTCCTGTCTCCCCCCCCCCTTCCCTTTTTCTCTCCCTCTTACTCCTACTCCCCCCCCCCCACTCCTCCTCCTTTTCCCCTTCCTCTCCTTTCCCCCTCCATGCCACCCTCCCACGCACACATTCCCCCTCTATCCCCCTCTCTCCTTCTCCCACTTCCCTTTCAACAAACTCACCATTCAACTTACAATCATAAACTTACAATCATCAACTAACAATTATCAACTAACAACCATCAACTTACAATCATTAACTGACAATCATCAACTATTAACTAACACTCATCAACTTACAATCATTAACTAACAATCATTAACTAACAATCATCAACTATTAACTAACAATCATCAACCATTAACTAACAATCAACAACTTACAATCATTAACTAACCATCATTAACTTGATATCATCAAGCCACAATCATTAACTTAACTGATTCAGCCCGCGGATAATTTTGACGCCAGTTGCAAATAATTTGTGAATGCTTCGTGCCCTCATGGGTGGTCCCACAAAAAGTTGACAAAGAAATATCTAAACTTGATCAAACCATATATGTGTGGCATATTATATAAACTCTTCAATGACACCAGAAAAGAGGGTTGAAATGTAAGTGGTAAGGAAAAAAAGAAGAGAGGAAAGTGATGTGAAGAAAGGGAGCAATAGATAAGAGCTGCTCTGAGTGGCTCTGCGCCAAAACACAGGAGACAGTCAGCGGCTGTGAGTGGGGTTGTGGGCTGAATCGGTTAACCTCATGAATTTACAATCATCCACCCACAGTCATGAACTTACAATCACCAACCCACAATCATCACCCCACAATCATCAACTTATTAGCATCAACTTACAGCCACGACTTGACAATCATCAACCTCACAATCACCAGCCCACAATCA